GCATTCCAGTGGGAGATTTCTGTTGAGCTTATGAAAAAAGAAAGTTAAGCCTGTATAAACACCTTTCTGTGAAGAAAACATGAAATACTACAGGATTCTTTAATCTACCAAAGAAACATATAGCAAGAACCAGTAGCTGGGAGCTAAAGCAAAGCAATTTCAAATTAGAAATAAAGCACTTGCTGTTGCTTTTTTCTCTCTGTTTCACAGAGATGGTAATTAAACTTTGGGGCAGGCTACTTTGCAGTGGAAAATGGTAGGCATCATCTCTGGAGACTTTCAAATACAGTCTATATACTCTCTGAAAGTTATTTTTTTCCTGAACACAAGTAATGGGGGGCTCAATATCAGAGGTAATTGGATGGAATATAAGTATCTGAAACAAAAACTCAGTGTAGATGAACTAATCTCTTCTCCTGGCTTTAAATGTATGAAAATATAGATTACATTACTGCAATGTGTTTGTTTCCTACACCTAATTGGTTTGCTTTCAAGACTCAAAAATCTTTAGTCACTGCAGCTTGCATCACTAACCTTTAAGAATTCAAAACAATGCTCTTTACTGCTTGCTGAATTGTCACATACTATATGTCTCTAAATCCATCTGAATGTGCAATTTCCAACTCCTGATTAGCACCAGGAGCCCAGTCAAGGATGACAGAACAGCATCCAATTCTGTTGATTTCTACTGCAATAAAAACAGTCAAAAGCTGCATAAGGGCCATCCTACAGCTTAAATCTTTTCAGGAAAAACTGCTTGAAAACATGTTATATCACAGGGGTTATTGATGGGAATAGGGTGATTGACAGGAAATTTTAAACAACCCAAACCTTTCTAAGATGAATTACAGCACAAATACATAACCCACAGGGAATGGGCTGACTTCAGTGTCTGTTTCTGTGGACAGATTCCCCACAAGTCACTGGGTAGAAAGTGCCACCAGGCATTTGCAATAGTTCCAATCCCAGAGCAGGATGCTTTCTTGATTCCAAGGACACAGTGCATATATTGATTTAAAATTTCCCTATTCTCCCTGAGCAAGTCAGAAATTGCACTGAGTTGGATGTGTGACAGTGAGAGTGTTCAGACAAATTAGTGGGCTGGGGTTAAGCCATACACTGTCTGTGTCCAAAATGCCCTATCAAGGAACTCAGAGGATTATTTTCTGAGGAGTGTCAGCTACTCTTGCAGTGCTGATTTAATACAAAAATGTCTGCCCCAACTCTGCCCTAATCCCCATTTTTCCTCCTTATGCTGCATTTTCCTCCATCAGCTCTTCCTACCAGAATGTGATTCCACTCTTTCAAACACTTTTTGGTTTGATTCACTTTGTCTCATCGAGTATTTATCTTCTTCCTATTTCTGATTGCCACTGATGTCCTTTCTCCTAGAAGATATATTCATCTATTCTTATATTCACTATTTTTTTCAGATTTTATTTATACCAGGTCGGTAGAAAAATATAATAAATTACTGTGACTCTGGAGAGCTCACAGGAATAAATTGTCAAAGACTTTTAATAAAATTATGCTGTCTTCTAAGGCAGGGTCTTTGTAAACAAAGGCATTATATCAGAATAAAACTTTCCTAAGTTCTGACAACAGGTCTTGAGGGTGCCATGCTTTGCTTACACCAGTCTTGAACACGGATAAATCATTGGCTTTTCCCAAACTCTGCCTGTCTGTAAGGAAGTTTTCATGGTCAGTGTTGCTATCCTAACCCCATGCACTCGTTCCTGATCCAGATTTTGTCCCAGTCAGGACAAAGTGAAGAGGGAACTCCCACAGAAATGCCAGTGGTGCTTTACCTCCCCCAAAACACTTCCCCTTGAAAAGCAGAACTGTAAAAAAAAAAAACAAAACAAAACAAAACAAAAAAAACCCAAAAAAACCCAAAAACACACCACCAAAAAATCAATCAATCAATCCTGACTAATCTAAACCTTCAACCCCAAACCAATCCATTTTGGAGGTGTGACCTGCCAGCTGGTGGGACTCCTGAAGTTCAGAGCAAGTGTCCTCAGGTCCCAGCTATTTTACATGTTTGAATTAGGGGGTAGATAGTTCACCTGAGACTGCAGCTAATTTTTTTAAACTCTTCATTAATTTGAATCCTAACTCACACATCTTGTTGTAAATTGAATGCATTATCTCCTTTTTCCACCACATGCTATTATATAGGTACTTCTTGGGTAAGAAATTGTCTCTATTAGCATTTCTGTCATGCAGAACAAGCATTCTGTCAGTGTTGGGAGCTCTTTTTTACTACAGGTCTCAAATGTGAATTGAATTTTATATAAATTTCATGCTGTGACTTAAATTATTGCCCTTGAAGAATGACTACCTGTAACACTCCTTTTAGTGGAGAGTCCTCAAGAATCTCAACTATGGGACTTGGTAGTGGAGTTAAAAATCAAGAAGCAGGTTTTAGGTGAAAGAAAATTTTATCCAAAGCATTTGTCACAGTAATTTCAGCTGTTTCCATCATGAGGATGAAGGCTAGCTATGATTTTTTTAGAGTTCCAGGTATTTCTGATGTTCTACATTACTATCAGCTCCCAGGTGTGAAACTTGGCATTAAGTTGTTAAATCATTCTGCTTTTGGAATCTTCTTCAGAATATCCTTCACATGTAAGGAAGGATAATTTTGGAAATCCAATCAGCAACACCTATGACTGTATTTTTTGTATATCATATGCCTGCAGAAGACATAGGAGAAGCCCAGGAGAATCTTATATGAATTGTTATTACTGCCCAGGATTTCCCTCCCCCAGAGAATTGCTGCCATCTCTCCACAGATGCCCTTTAATAGTTTTGTTTCCTGAAATCCCTTTTTTGAAAATTAACTAAGACCAATAACTTCTGTCTTCTTCTTCCTGAAGGGGAGGGAAACTGAAAGGGCAGTTGCAGGTGTGTGTACAGGAAATGAGCACTGCAAAAGGTTTTTTAAAAAGCTTTTATCATGTTAACTGGCACAGCACCCAGCACAGAGTCACAATCATGTTTCCTGTTAAAGAGAATTGACTTAATTCATTTTCATGTTGTGACCTGCAACAGTTTAATTTACCTGAGAGCATTCTTCCTGTCAATACAGGCTGGATGGAAACATGATAACTTCAGGTTATGTTAAGTGTGTGATTTGTGATGCAGTTTACCTCTGCAATGACTGCACTGTTCAAATTAATTAATACCAGATCATTATCTTTAGAAGGCAGGCAGATGTTGAGGTTATGGTGTTTGTGAACCCTAAGCCTGTCTTTTTTTCTGTACAGATAACCAGCAGTTGCCGTATAAATTGGAGAGCCAAGGTCTAGGCCTTCTGGCAGTCAATTGGTTTTGTAATTATCTTAGTAATAGTTCTCAATTATTATTCAGTAAAGGTCATCTTTTCTCTGCTAATGGGTCACGGCACCCCCTAGGGATCCAGAGATGGGCCAGTTCTCCTTTTTATCATGTAAATGACTTGCCATCTGTGTGCCACCCAGGTTCATCTAAGGCAGTTCTGAAAACACTGATTATTAATATCAAAGCTGCAGATTCTGACAGGATTCTAGAATTATTTTAAAATATTTTTAAAGATGGGCTGTGTTTCCTGAAATTTTCAAGGCTCTGTTAAATGCCGTGGACAGCTTAGTGGCAATTGTCTTCAAGTAATGCAGTGATTAAAAATAAAAACTTTTATTTTAACTAGTGGCATTTTTAGTTAACAAACCCTGACACCCTTATTTCCAGCCTCTGTCTGCCTTCATTTGTGTCCCATTGTATTTACTTCTGCTATGTGATTGCCTGGGGGAAGTTAAATTACCAACCATAGATATTACACTTGCACAAAACTTCTTTATTCCCTTCTGTAGATCATGTTTACATTGCAGGCTGTGCTGAAAGTGAATAAAATGAAAAAGTCATAATTTGTTTCTACTCTATTGTAATAGCCATGCTGTAATTGGTGCTGTTTCATATAAAATTACCATATAAATTGTGCCATCCAAAGCTGCAACAGAAAGAGCAACAGTATTTACAATAAATGGCAAATCTCTGTTAATTATTGATAGCCTAATAAACACACCATTATAATTCAGTCTTATTATTCATTATTAATAATAACTCTTATTTGCTATTCATTGTGTAAGGATCAATTATGATTAACTGTTCTAAAAATGAATGGTCCACATGGATGTTTCTATTCTCAGGGCCTTTTCCATTGAGGGAAAGGCTTTCTGTATTAAAATGCTCAGTCCAACAGGACAAAACGTTGCTGTACTCAAACAGCTTTTCCTGATCCTGGTGTCTGTAAAAAGCTGCTATGAGCTCTGTCAGAGGCAGTTAATTATTTTAATCATTAAATTATATTTGGAGGTCATTACTTGGCCCAAAGGTGGCTGACTTTTGACCTAGGATGTTCTTGGCCACCTGGGCACACAGCAGTTTACCTTTAATAGTAATGAAGCTTTGCTTTACTGCTTAGCAATGGCAGGGGCCTCTTTTTAAAATAAACTCTGCCAAAAATTCATTGAGGCATCATCATAAATCTTGGTGGTTTCACAGCTTAATTTTTGCTGGGGAAGAAGGCTGAATTCCAGACATTCCAATGACAACGTGTCCCTGTGTGGATCTGCAGAGCGACCATCAGGTGTCGTGTGAATGAAGATGTCTTCTCTAGAAATGATTGATTTATTGAGTCTTTTGCCTTATAATGCTTTTTATGTAGAGGTAACCAGACCAGTCTTTCTAGACTGCATTGCCAGAGTCAAGACTTTTACCTCCTGGTGCTGGTAGTGTTGCTGCTGGCTGCAGGAAGGACAGGACTGGAAGTACTGATAGCCAACACTACTCACTTTTCCTACCAAGCTTTTGATTTTCTGACCTCTCTTCCAAGCATAACTCAACTGGTAATTGCCATTAAGAAATGGCAATAGAGAATATTGATATTTTACAGTTCAGACCAAATGCTGTCTTACTTTTTAAATATTTTTTATATTTTGCTTTGTCACTCATTTCAGGTTTTTGATGCACAGTAACTCCACCATATCTCCTGTTAGATGTTAAATGCTGCAAGTTCAATCTGAGATGCACTGAGAGAAGCACCAGTGCTCCTGGGGTGTGCCCTGAGTGTGCCACACATGGAAGTGCCTTGAATTTTCACAGTGTATGACTGTGGGGCAGGAGGATGATCACTGCATGCCAAGGTGAGTCCTTCCTTCAGATCTGACTGGATTTCACACTGATTTATCAGTGAGAGTTTAAAGTGCACTGTCTGCAGGCAGCATACTTGAGTTATCCAGAGTTTCTTGGCACAAAGGAGTTTCTGCATATGCAGTTTTTGTTTGACAAGGGTTCTCCACTGTCTTTCCCTGACTGCCCACTTCAGAATTCAAAATATCTGTAAAATGCTCTGTATTTTTCCATGATGTGCCAGTTCCTACCAGCTGTGATTTTCCAATACAGTGATGCACTATAAGGCAGCCAACTGACTTGTAAAAGGATATGAGTTTGTGTGCCAAGGAGAATTTAGCATAATGTTTCAACTGCAAATATAAAACACAGTTTCAGAGAAGGAAGAGAAGAAATTCAAAACATACATAAATACGATATGTATAAATATTTTTTATTTTGTTTCAAATAATGTCTTACTCTGCTGTGTGTATGGCATCTGAGACACACTGAATATTTTTAGCACATAAGAAATAATTCACTTAGTTTATGGACACAAAGCAGCGTATAAACCACGTAGCTCAATAAACACTTTGTTTCCAATTCTTATGTGCATTACTCTGTGACATATCTGGAATTATTCCAGAAATTCATATCAAGGGAAGTCCTGCCAGTAGAATGAAGTTACAACAGAAGCCTTGGGTAACTCGTGGCACCTTTGCCAGCAGTGCAGGGGGAGTGTGGTTTAACACCACACCTGTGCCTGGTGTTCACACCTCTCCCCAAGCTGTGCAAGGCCACACCAAAGTGTCACTGCTTGACACTGCTCCCATTGCCCAGGGGAGGCTCACGAGTCACACCTCCAAACTGAGGTGTTGACACATCTTAAATAAGAGCAGAATTTGCTCTCTCGTTAACTGGTCAGTGGCCCTTTGCACGGCGTCCTTAGGCAGCTCTCCCAACTCCTTGTGAGGTAATTAAATATTGATCTTGCCCCTTTTACAGATGAAAATGCTCACGCTGTGTTTCAAGAAAGGATCACTTTTTCATGGTGTCATGGTTCAACCCCAGCCAGCAATTCAGCTTCACAGATCTGCTGCTCGCTGCTGCCCAGTGGGACTGAGGGGAGAAGCAGAAAAGTGACAGGCAGAAGACACGTGGCTTGAGATAAAGACACTCTAGCAGGGAAAATAATAGCACATGGTGCAAAGCAGAGCATGGAATTCATTCCCCACTTCCCATGCCCAGGCAGGTGTGCAGCCATCCCCAGGAAAGATGGGATCCATCTCCAGCTTTATCTCCAGGGGGGAGACAAACCATCCCTCTGAATGTGCCCCTTGCTGCTTCTCCCCCAGCTGAGCGTGACCCCACTGGGGATGGGACAGGAATGGGGATGGAAATAGGGATGGGAACTGGTAGTGGGAACTGGGAATGGGAAACATGGAATGGAAACTGGGAATGGAGATGGGAACTGGGACACCCTTAGGTCACTTGGGGTCAGCTGTGTCCTCTCCCAAATCCCTGTGCCCCCAGCCCCCTTGCTACTGGGGATGAGGAGCAGAAAAGGCCCTGACAGTGTAAGTTCTGCTCAGCCATAGCTAAAACATCCCTGTGCTATCAACACTTTCCAGCATGAATCCAAAACACAGCCCCATGTTAGCTCTATGAGGAAAATTAGCTCTATCCCAGGCAAAAGCAGTACACAGTCTGTTACTCCACTTGATATAATTTTCTAATTAAGGTATAATTAATGTATAATGCAGTAGAAATACTAGGTAGGAGTGAAATTGTGACCATCTACTGTTATTGAAAATGTTCTATGAACCCCATTACGCCATTGTAAAATTATTCTCTAAATGTCAGTGATGTGAGGAACACAAACAAGAAGTCACTGTTATTAGACATGCTTTTATTATGCAGCCTAACTGAAAGCAGTATTGTGTTTAAGAATAAGCAGGGAAGTAAAATATGAGGGATTTTGATCACAGAGAAATCAGTTTTACCATGTGCTGTAAATATTACTGAGGCAGCAGCATGCCTACTTTTCAGAAGCCAGAAAATGAACAAAATGAAGGGAGGAATATCATGAATCATAATTTGCTGCAAATGCAAACTATTCAATGTATTTAGTCTTTTCTTTCAAATTTTTTTCTTTGTTTTGTTTTGTTTTAAAATAAGGCAATATACATATTTTGTTCACTTTGCTGGAACCTCAAAACATGGAAATCAGCACCAATGAGACTTGAAAGCTCCATCAAATGCCTGCTGAAAAGTGTCTGTTGCTGGCGCAACTGCGAGAGCTTTTGCTATTTTTTCAACTAACATTTGCAGCATTTCCCACCTAGTGCAGGAAATGGTTGCTGCTTGCATAAACATATATTTAAGGCTTAAAAGAGCCAACTTTGAAGTTAGTCCAACTTTTGGTGTTTATAGAGGAATGAGTGTGTCAGGAGAGAAGCTGCCTGTCCATCAGCTCGCTGTGCCAAATCTGCCTTTGAATTCAGTGAGACAAGAGTTAAACTTTCACTCCCCTTGCAGCTAAAATACAGCTCTGGTGCAGTGCACTCCTGCACCATCCTCCACGCTGCCTTTTGTGTATGCTATAATTATCAGATTCATTATAATAACTCTTGCATATAAGTATTGTACTTACCTGAGGGCAACCTGGGAGATTTTATATTTGCAAGCCCCATTTTATTCTTCTGTAATAAAACTCCACACTGAACATAGGGTGGCACCAGGCAAACATCAAAATGTCTAATATTTAGTAGATAGAGGATGATGACTATGATGTACTCCTGCAGAAAAATGAAGACTGGTAGATTGAAGGCAACTAAGTTAATTAAGCCAAATGCATAATTATTTAGCATTTTAATGATTAGAAATTCAATGAATATTTTCTTATTTATCAGATTAAACAATAATTAAATTAGTCTTCATAACAGGGAAATGAGACGAAAGTTTTTCTTTAATTTTACATTCTGACTTAAGGTTTTCATGTAAGCAGATTTTGATAACCTGGGAATGCAGAACTGTGCAATCTCTGGGAAAATAGCAGCACCAAGGAAGTTATACTTTAGTTTTTTACAACAGAGATATTTTCAATAACCAGGTCAGCTTTCCTAGGAGAAAAGAAAGCAAATAAACCCAGCTTCCCACCCAAACTTAATTTGATGCAGATGAATGAAATATCAGCAGGCTTTTGGCCCTAAGTGAAAAAGGGAACAATGAAAGGTAGTTCTTTTTGTTGGGAGATAATTTTTTTGTTATTTTACACTTCTAAGATTTGAAGCCTGCCTGAAAAAAATTGAAATACAAATATAGGTCTTTTTTTTTTTTAGAATTTTGTTTTTCATTTATATGAACACAGGAAGCTTGGGAATATCTCATTTTATTGCTTTTGTGATTATAGAAAAGAAAAATCAGTAACTTTATGTGTTGTATTCCTGTGCCATATACTAGATTAATAGAAGCAGAAGATCATTATCCAGGCTAAATTTTAACCCATTCTCAGTGCAGTCCTTTGAGCCTGTCTCACTGGGGACTCTCCTATAATGTATAGCATTCATTTGAGTCTAAACCTCTGGTTTTAATGATGTTGTCTTTCTGAACCATGGGCTGTAGAGTGCTGAATACAAACATTGTTCAGTACATCCTGATGTGAAATATTTCCCTCTCTGGTAGATAAGTGTTCAAAAACTGCACGGATGAGGTGCTTAGGCAAATAGTTTAGTGGTGGACCTGGTCTTATAAGGTTGATAACTGGTCTTGATGCCCTTAGAGGTCTTTTCCAAGCTTAAGGATTCAATGATTCTTATCTGGAAGCTGCACGTGGCCCTTCCCAGGAAACTGAGTACAAAACTTGTGCTTTTCCAGCCCCTGTGTCTCTGCTTGTCCCTCTCTTCTCAGCTGAAGTGGCTTTCCCTGGCTGAGCTGCCAAGGAGAGCGTGGCCCCAGCGCTGCTCCCCCCTGGCTGCCTGCTCTGCTCTCACCTCAGAGCAAGGCCAGCTGCCCCTGTGGGTTCCACATTTTGGGGGAAACCAGGGAGGTCACAGAGAGTGTGGCATTAAAGGCAGGTGAGAGCTGAGAGGAAGAACTGCAATGGCAAGAGCTCTGCTAGAGGGGGGTCAGGAGCTGGAGGGAGTGGAGAAGCACAGAGGGGATATTTTATTCTAAAAAGCCCAGTTATTGCATGTACAGAAGGTATCACAACACTGGGATGTGCTCTGGTATATTTTCTAATCTTCGTAGTGGGAAGGAATCAAACTAATCCCCATTCAGTGCTGGCAGGGTGGAAGTGCCTCCAGCAGCCAGTGCAAGGCACTGAGGAGGGAAACAGCAAAAAGCCTTAAAATGCTTATCTAACCCTGAAATGAGCTCATCCACTGCCCCAAGCTTTCCTAGGAAGGCAGGTACACCCAGCACTTGGCACGCTGGATGCCATGGCTGGCTGCACTCGCTGGGGGAGCTTCATAACACTGACAAATGGCCTGGAGGGTTTCCTTAACCAAGAGCATGAATGATAGCAGAGTTAATGTACACTCTCCAACACCCTGCGCTGTATTTTGGGGTTTTTAGTGGTGTAGCCAAAGTGTAAAAATGGATGCAGGGCTTTTAAAACTTCCCAATAAAGAGAAAAGATTGTTTGAAGCCGTGGAAGCTGCATATCCACTGGCACAGCAACCAATGCAGTTTGCTTCTCCAGTAGTGCCCTCAAGTACCTTTAGATATTCATATATAAAATGTAAGTACATAACCTGCTGTAAAAAGTTACAGCAGTGCCTTTGGCAAGCTTCCCTGGCCTGTGGAGGGTAATTACATGTGGAACACAAACACAGCTCCAAAATGGACCTCATTAGATATTCAGCTTTTTTCTCATACGAGTGCTGTGTGATCTATCCATGCTAGTAAGAGTATTTGTTGTATCTTGATGGAGAATTTTGACTTTGTAACCTAATCAGAGGCAAAACAACAAAAAAAAAAGATATTTTTCTCATCAATTCCAAGAAGGATTTAGATCCATACACAGCCCTGCCAGCCTCCAATTCAGACTGCTATTGGAGGTGAGTAAACCAGAAGGAACAGCTTGTTCTGGATGGAAATGAATCTGCAGCAAAGGCCAGCTTGGAAATACAGCTTTGTGTTTCAGCCAAAAATCAGACAGAAATGGTCACAGCTGAAATGTTACATCAGGCCCTGGTAACTGCTCACAGCAACCCACACAACTGCTTAGGAAGGCATGACTTCAAATCTATTCTTTTCAGGTAAATTTGTGAATGCTCCTGGGTCATTCTCACGAGTGCCATGGTTCCCACAAGAACCTGTATAAAAAGGAAAAAAAAAAAAAAAAAAGAAACATCTGCATTTTTAATAGGCTTTCAGAATGTTTTGAGATAATTTTGTGATTGGGGGTTTTTAGGCATTTATCTATGCTTTTAATGGAATGATGAGATTTTTGCTGATAGATCACCCTCTTTGTCTGTCCATATCAAATGGCTAATACTAAGCTAATCAGAAGTGCATATTAGAAATGGCTTGTGCTAGAATTATGAGTTCCCAATTTTTTTTCTGGAAATATAACTGTTCTGATAAAAACTTTAAAGCAGCTAGATTTTTTCTGTCCAGGAGGATCTTACTAAGGAGTTTATAAGAGAAGATTATTGAGAAGAGGAAAAACAGGTCCCACAAATAATCAACCCAGGTGTGGAGGAATGATGTTCAAGTACCATTTCTGCAGAGTTTGGCACATAGTCAGAGGAAGAAAATACAATCATAAATTACAGAAATTACTGGCTAAGAAAATGAACAATTTGATCCATATTTACTGTTTAAAAATTGAGGTGCAATATTTGTAGTTAAACATTTATATAAATGAAAGCTGTGTGTATATTTCTGTACGAATGATGAAGGTGACCCTGATTTAGTTCATTNAAAAAAAAAAAAAAAAAAAAGAAAGAAACATTTAAATATGTAAATCATAGATGAGCTAAATATAGGGGGGTTATCAAAAATGTCTGTTGTCTTTGAACATGAACATATGCTCACTATGCTAATTCCGTAGGATCCTTAGATCAAATGCTGGCATGTTTCAGTGTTTTGCATTGCTTTAAATTTTGACTTCAGATTTCATAATTTGTTTTATTTTAAGGTTATTTTAGGGGTTTTTTTTGTTCCAGTTGCCAAATGCCAAATTAAGAAGGATCATCTGAAGGAATAAATTTCCCTGTGTTCCTCTGTTAGCCTTGAGAAGTTGCATCTTGCTAGACACTGCACTGAAAGCAGTCCAGAAGAATATGAGACCAGAACCTGACCACTCTATAATTCATAAGTAAATGTAATTTCTTACAAAGGATAAACTTTTTTTAAATTTTCCTTAAAAATGCATGCCTTTGAAATTGCTTAGATCAGAGCCCCAGATTTTTAAACAGACCATGGTTCAAGCTTGCTGGTGTCTGTATGTACTTGAAGTTTTGTTTTAAGAGATGCTAGTCTGTATGTACTTGAAGTTTTGTTTTAAGAGATGCTATTTGTCACAGAAGAAAACCATGATTTCATGTATGGAAACAAATTCCTCAATTCCTGATTGTCTAAGAAACATTCCTGTGGGTTTCATCCTGGAAACTTACAGGAACAGACTTTTTGATACAATGAGGGGGTGAAGTTTGATTGATGTTTTATAAATCTCATTACCATTTTTAAGTTTTTTCTTTAAGATTAAGATGATAGCAGTTTATATTTTAATTTCAAACATGATCCATAAAACATTTTCCTATTAATTTATGCTCTTGCTTCTCTGTCTTTTGTGCCCCCCAAGAGCTCTTTTTTTAAGGTGTAAATATGTCCCTAAAATAATGAAAGTGCCATTTTCACCCTTTTATTCATTTAGGTGCCCAGGAAGGGAACTGCAAAGGCATTTAGCTCAAACCATACTTTTAGTATAAAGAGATAACATTAACTCAAGGATCTCTGCTGATCATTAGTCTGGTTGTTCTTTAATGTGCTCTCCCTTGAATTTTGTTTACCAGAATACAGTGTGAGATAAATGGCAGACACATCTGGGAAGAGCCACTGGAAATTTTCATACATTGCTCACCTCTCTCTCTTGGCTGATCCACAGAGTGAGTATTCATTAAATCCTTATCTCCAAGCTGTCCTGTATGGCTGAATCCCAGCAGAGGAGAACAGGTCACTAAGTGATATTGTAGAACTGCTGCCTTGTGTTTGAAGAATAAAAACCACAGGAGGTTCTACATGTTGTAGCATGAATCCCCACATTTATTTTTTATGGAGTAGACATTGAGTTTGTTTTGGTTTTTGGTTTTTTTTTTTTTTGCCTTGTCCACGCTCTGCTCCTATATGGTCCTTGGAATGTTCCACAATACCTCCAATGATACATTGTGGGAACTGGTAAAAAACCTGGAACAATGTTGTGAAAAGATATCAAAATATTTCACTTAAGAAAAAATGTTCTGATTCTTCATACTTTTTCAGATGGTGGTACTTTGACCTTTTTGGAAGAAAAGGTCTAAAATATTTGCTCTTTGAATTAAATGACTAATAGGGATTTTACAGTTTTCCTAGGTAAACTGTCCTGCTGGCTGCCTATCTGTGGTACACTCCTTTGAATTTGAATTTGTTAGCATTAACTTCTAGCCATTGCATGAAATTAAACAATATCTTACCCTTTATGCCAACCATAAAAATGAGCATTAGTCTGAAAATTTTACAAGAGGAGCTTGCAAAATCAGCCAGGCTACTGGTTATTGTGGCAGTGTCTCAGATCCTAAAGCATTTACAATGATTTTGGTATCAGAGACAATGGCTATCAGGAGTTGTGGTGAAGCATGGTCTTGGGCACTCTTGTCACCAACCCATGTGCAAACAAAATAAAACAAATAAGCTTCAGCATCTCCAATTAAACTCAACTCTGGTGTTCTGTTGTCCTTTAAAATAATTTGGCAAAGACTCTCTAGCATGGGGTTGGGATTTTTACTCTACTAAGAGCCAGTCAATGTTCTTTGACTCAGGTTGTACTCTAATCTTGGGTGTTTTAAGAACGTAAAGAGAGCTGAGGGAGATTTGTGGGGAATGACTTGGCATTTTTCCATTACTGCTAATAGGATTAGGAAAGTGATGAATTGTCACTGGAGATTTTGATATCTCCTAACAAAGACAATCTGCAAGCAATACTTGCAACCAGCTGTTGCTATTTATGGTGCTAGTCTGTTTGGCTGGCAGAGCTGTTTGATTTCCAGCACTCAGAGCTTCCACTACCTTTTTTCCAGGCTGAGCCTTCCAGGTTTGTCATCCTGCCTAGATCCAGCAGCAGCTTTGCAGGAGTCAGAAGCTACAGGAGCCAAATCCCAAAGTGGGGATGGATGTCCACTTTTAATAAGAAGGAGAAAACAAAGCAGGAAGGAGGATTGTCACAGGTTTTTAGTCTCTAATGCTTTCTAAACTGATCAAACTGCTTGGGTATGTGACACCTGTCCAGGTGATTGTCCCCAGGCTGAGGGTCAGTCTCAGTTGAGAGGGTTTAGTTGTGTTATTTTATTGTCTCCGTTTGTACCATGTCTATTTCTCTCTTGGGGTTCCTAGGTCAGGGTGACCCCAAGATATTTAAAAGTCTTTGCTTCCCTTAGCCTGACACAGCCAAAGAAGGAGTCTGAAATGTTTCCAGTTGTGGTTTCAAGGTTTTTTTATTTCTTCTTATCTCAACATTCTTTCTCTGACCTGCCGAGCTCTGGCTAGCAAGGAAGCCATGACCATCTGACCTCAAGGCTGGGTGGCTTCCACCTTGTATACTCAAATCTACATGTCTGTGTTTACAATTTCTTCCCCAATTCCTATCATCTGTTCGACTGTGAATCTCTACCTTAAACCAATAGAAAAGTGTCACCATCACACCAAGACATAGAGGACCAAGAGTAGTAGAAGAAGGTCAGGACACGCCCAAATTCCTCCATCTTGTACCCCCTTGAACTCCATTCTAAAAATCCCAAAAATCTACTTTTCCACCTTCTGTTAGTTCAAATATCACACTACTAAAACTGTTGTGACTTGTAATCCCTCAAACGAAGTTGGCAGTTTTTTCCACTGGCTAAAATCGAAGCCACAGGGGTTTTTGATTTCATGCCAGGGTCTCTCAGACCCCTGCCAGGGTCTCAAGACAGCCAGGGCAGCCAGAGGGATGTTCTGGACTCTGACAGTACCACTTTGCTCCTGGTTTACTCATGGTGTAACACTTAACTAATTAGCTAAATAATGTGGCTGCATGTCCAAAGTTTTCAAAGTTTTTCACAAAACCAGAATTTAATGATATTTTAATGATTTTTGTTGTCAAACTTTGTTCACTGATAAAAGATATGATGAGAAGGAGGAGATTTATACTTTTTCACTGTCTGTGAGAAAGAAGTAAACTAATGTGCATATACTTGGACAAAACCTTTTGAATTACATCTTTATTGGTTAAAATAGCAAAATCTAGCACACTCAATCCCTGACATTTATGAAAATAAGCATAGTATATTGAATTTTCTTGACCCAATGCCATTTTGGAACATGTTTCAAAATGTTCAAAGCATTTCATTAGAAAACTTTTTAAGACATTCCAAATTTTATTTTAATTTTAAGCTAACTAGTAATATTTTTGCAGATAACAATCTGTAATTACCACTAACTGGTAATTGTGTTTGCAGAGAAAAGTATTCCTATGAAATGAATTATTTTGAGGTTTTAATAATAAAGATAGCTTATTTCATATATTACCTCACCGCAGTGTGAGACTGGGAAATTTCCTTCCATTTATTCCTTATTTTTAAAAAGTGATGTGAATGTGGTGATGTTAAACAAGTCAGAGAATTAGTTCTAATAACAGAGAGTGTTATTATTCAGTGGAAGTGCCAAGAAAATAGGTTTTCTCACAAAAACCAAAACTAAACAGTAAACAAAGGACATATAAAAACATTTGTCTGGACAATCAACTGGTTTTGGTGTTTAAACTGCACTGACAGTCATTGTCCAAATAACAAAGGGTGAATGCTTAGACATCACCTAACCTATTGAAATAAATTGGAAATACCCTATAAAGACACAGAAGAGTTGACACTTTACCTTACAGTCCCTTAACACCGGGGAGTGTGTCCTGATATGAATCCATCCTTTGATAAAGATAGAACACAAAAAAATGGAGAAAGCAACTCAGATTTACAGAATAATTTAAGGACATTTATAGCCCATTATCACTGCCACATTGCGCCAGAAGAGCAAAGCAGAAGAAGTGATATATAGATCATTGATTTTTATCGTTTCAGAGCAGCCTTTCTTAGTATTTTTAATGAAACATTAAATGATTGTAATGTAAACTGTAACAGAATGGCATAGTTTTATACTTTCTTAATTGGATGCTAATATCCATGTCAGTATTTGCATGAAAAATGGTGTACTAAGCCAAAATATCAAGGTTTTTAAAACTCATAATCATTCTTCTGCTGATACCATCTGTCAGCTTAATCTTCACCTCCCAGAATTCAACAAAGAGGGTGCCTTCAGGGGAAGGAAAAGAAAAAAAAAATACAGTTATGAAAGTACAGTAAATTGAGTTTAAACCATGGGCCTGAAATCCCACTTGATTATATAGGGATTATTCGTTATTAATTGTCAAGGTTGGAAAATATTTAAGAATTGCTGTTGGGGCACTGTTGGTCATCCTCCTTGAAGAAGCTGTGGGACCCCCCAGGGGAAGGGATGGAGAAGGAAGGGATAGGAATGAGAAATGATGGAGATGTGATGGAGAAAGGATGGAGAAGGAATGGAGATGTGATGGAGATATGATGGAAAAAGGATGGAGAAGGAAGGGAGATGTGATGGAGAAGAAATGGAGATGTGATGGAGAAGGAAGGGAGATGTGATGGAGAAAGGATGGAGAGCAGTGCAGATGTACGGCTGGCACAGCAAACCCCTGAGGAGCCATGGAGCTGCCTCTGAGAGCTCCTGAAGCAGCTGAAATTCCCTCCCCAGCAGTGAAAATCTGTGTCCCCTCTGCACTGAGTGGAGGGGATGTGAAGGAGTCTTAGCTCTGCATGCTCCTGCTTCATTCTTCACAGAGCTCAGAAGGGCTTGGATTGGAGGGGACTTTAAAGATCACCTCGTTCCCAGCCCCTGCTGTGGGCAGGGGTCTCACCCCCTAAATCAGGTTGCTCAGAGCCCCACCCAACCTGGCCTTGATTCTCCCCTGAGCTTGTCATTCCTACAGCCCCCCTGCACATGCATAACCTGCACAGGGCTGTTGTCTGGGACAAGTCAGCTTGTGCTTGTCATTTCTAGGACACACATCCCTCAGTGCACCATCAGACTGCCACCGAGGAATCCAAGTCCTCAGAAAAAGAGGAGGAGGGAGCTGGAGAGCACATCACCTGTGCAGCCTACTCTGAAACAAAACATATGTGCAAAGCAAGCACACATCTCCTGGAATGTTATCTCAAATCTCTGCAACCCTGCAGGGGCTGCTGGCTAATGATCTCCTGACAAAAGTAAGAGAGGGTGGAGGTTCAGACCTCTCCAGCTGCTGGCAAATCCTCGGACAAACAGCTACTTTACCACACAAGAGAAATTTCAACGTTCTTCCAACGTTGGAATTTCAGAGACCAGCAGGAATGTCTGTGTCTGCTGAGTAGCCGTAGCTGCAGAGTGCTCAGGTAACACCTGGGACAGCCCAGGTGGCACCTGGCTCCTGTCCCTGCCAGGGATGCTCTGCACAGGGCAGGGCAGAGGGTGCTGAGCTCTGTGCCAGGAGCCCTTGGTGAGCAGAGTGCTCTGGGTGAGCCCAGCATGCCCCCTCCTCTTCTCTCCTGCAAAAAGGATCTGCTCCACACACTCAAGGATGAGTTCACAAGCAAGCCCATGAGAAAGAAGTGGAAAAACAAAAGTGCTAATCTAAAAAAAAAAAAATATATATATATATATATTTTATTTATTTCATAAAAAACAGTATGAGTGCTCAAAAATATACAAGGCTTTTTTAAATTATTATTTTTTAACAAAAAAAAAGAAATCAAAGTGTTTTAATGTTGAAATGCTTTCATTTTTAATTTTTTTTTTTAATTTTCTTTTTCTTTTCTCCCCAGGGAATACTTGCAGCTTTTCATACTTCTTTGAACAGCTGCAGAAAGGAAAAGGAAGAAGTAAAAATTTGATCTACTGGTAGCTACTCTGCTGCCCTGCTAAGAACCTGCTGCTCTGGCCTTGCTTGCTCACAAAGATGTGCCACAAAAATTACAAAAATTAAAGCAGAATATAAGAAAAGTGTGGCACACTCGTAGGAGGTGGAGTTTATTGGAGTCTCTAAGGCAGCACCTGGAGAATGTTGCTTCAGCTTTTCCAGCTGGGGCATGAGGTGCAGTGGGAGGAGTGTGATCCAAGGAAGCCATAGGGGAGAAGAATTATAATCTTCATATGGAAAAATCTTATTTTGGCATAGAAAATCAAAATTGTTCCAACAAAATTTTTTTCCAGCCTCTGGAAGAAATGAGCACCCATGACCCTCTCCAGCTTCTAACAGAGCAGAAAATATCAGACAGGATCAGAGCTATAGCATCAGACAACTGAGCTTTTTTTATTTAATTCTATTTTCATCATGTCTAAAATAAAATGAAGCATGTGGTTAGCTGAACAGGATGGGCAAGCTGGCATAAGGAGAAATACTGTTAGGTTCTAACTTGCAAAGTGGTCTTTTTTTTGTCCCAGGATCTAGTTAATGTCTGATAACTCTTTATACAGAGCAGCTTGCAAATTTGAGATTTCATCAGGTTTTGTATGTATATGCATAGATAAACATACATCTATATTTATTTTTATATATTATCCATATATATTTGTATACATTGTACTTTCGTTGTACTTTGTACTGTTACATTTAACTGGCCCCCCACATTTCATACAAATTTTCTGAATTATTTGTCCTATGTTTACTGATCTGTGATTCCAGAATGACTTGAAGTGATCCTACTGAGGACCTGGAATCTGACTTGAAGTGATCCTACTGAGCAAATTTCCCAGAATCAGAGTCCTCAGATTGGCATTCTGGTAAGTTAATACCAGGAGACTCTTCCAGAATACTTTGAAAAATGGGATCTCTATTTTTCTTTTCTCTTTCTTCCTCCCTACCCTTCATTCAGCAATTGGAGATTACCAGAGGGAGGAGAGTGTTTCATATATTTCCTTGTAAGTTGTTTTAAACCTCAAGTAGTTTATCCTATTTCCATTTATTATTACAAGACAGACTCTAAAGTACACAGAGACACAACACATATTCATTTAGCAGTGACAGGTTAACCAGGCTTTCTAAAGAATATTAGTCTCTGTTCAGTCAGTGCCTTTCTCCAGCTCCAGCGTGGAGAATCTGAATGAGGAATTAAATTCCCCTATCAGATAATAATCAGTCATTGTGATAGGAGAGAATTTCCATAATTTATCTGCCAAGGTGAAATTCTACGCAGGGCAGAGGAGCAGCCAGAGGCAAGGAAACCCCTTTAGCTGGCATGAGTCTGTTGGAGCCTCAAACAACACAAAGGCTTCAGGTGGCTCCTTCCAAAGAGACATGGAATCACCTCCCTTCTGGAGAAGTTAATTGTGGTTACACCAAAGGCCAGATTAATTTCATCATCAGCTTACAAATCAAAGTTGGGTCAATAAAGAGCTATGTACTACTTCAAATAATAAAATCCCTTAGAAGGGGAGGAATTATTTGCCCTCCATTTGAAGCATTTCTCTTGGGAAATGAAATGGAGAAGGGAAGAAAATGACACCACCATCTATTTTATAAATTCTAAGTGTCTTTTCACATTCATAAGCCTTTAAGCCAGAGCTTCTTGGCTTTTCATGTTTTTTCAAAGGGGATTTGAAACTGGTTTTTTGTAAGCATGCTCATCTTACTTTTGGGTTTCACCTACATGTTTCTATAGAAGTCCACTTTAACTCAAAACCTGGCAAGTAATTTAGCACTTATTTATTGAAACATGTGCATGAGCCTTAAAACCACCAGACAGTTGCAGCACAAACATCTGTCTTTTCAAAAGATTACACCCTGTCAAAATGCCCCAGAGCAAAATCTCTTGCCTTGGTTTGAAGTAGAATCAGCAGCAGCTACAGTAGTTAGAGAGCAAGTATTTTTGGAAAGATGACAGCTGGGTTGTCAGACATTAATGCTGAATTACACAATGCCTGTATGCTACAGAAGAGATGTAATAAGCAATTATTCTTACATTATCATATATAGGGCTGCCAAAGTACTGCCTGAGAGGCAAGATAAAGGGCTTGGGGTCTGTACTGGTTCCATTGATGCTGGGGGGTTTCCATCAAGTGAAGTTAAGTCTATTTTCAGTCTTGTCATCTAAGGAAGTATCAGCTTAAACATCTGTCATGGTAAAAATATCAACAAATGGCATCTCCAAGGCAGAATTATCCCCAGCATGAGAGAAGCAGGCAAGCTAGTTACTGTAACTGCTGCTGATCAGAATTTAGCTTCTTCATCAGCAGATTTAGTACAGAGAGTAAAATCATATTTACTTAATCTTCAGCGTTGGAAGTCTCAACAAATTTCATTGTATTTCACATATGTCATTTTTACACAGCACTGTTAAAAAGATCACTGCAGTCTTCAAAGAAAGTAAGAGGTCTCTAGGTAGTATTTATTTAGATCTTTTCTCATCTGGAAAGAGAAAATAAAAGAACTCGAGTCAGGGAGAAGTATGAGCAAACATATTGAATAGCTCCTTTGTCAAAGAAAACAGCCAAGAAAGCCTAGGGCTGGAAAACAAATTACTAGGGGTGATATGGCACAGGTCTGTGCAATTAAAAATAAAGAAATTAAGATGAAGGAATTGCTCACTGTTTCTCAAAATAGAAGAACAAAAGGACAGCAAGTGGGCTGTTGGGGTTACAGGTTCCAAACAATCACAAGGTCATTTTCCAAAACCCAGTTAAATGATCAGTTTAGTTAAACTAGTTAGTTAAACAACTAGCCAAATGCATGGCTAAGAACTAGAAATACATTTGAGGTTAAAACTCCAGCAGCAGAATTGATGGAAGGAAAAAACTCCATTGAGGACTTAGTAGATGTAATTTCTGCCTCAGTTGCAAAGTCTTATCCCTGTAATTTCTCCTTTGGTATGCACTGCTGGAGAGTGGCTGATGGCCCAAACCAGACCTGACGTGAATCTTCTCATGCTCTAAATCACAAGGCTGGAAATTTAACTCCTTCCAATTGTCAGGAACCCAATGAAGTCAGGTGAGCCATGCAGATTTTTTCTGAGGGCCTCTATGTATTTGTAACTATCAGAAAAAAGGAACGACCTTAGGAAAACAAATATAAGCAGAAAGGTTTTAAGAAAAGTTACTTAAAAGTCTTTTCATTACTTTAAGATGCCAACTATTAAAAATTCTATTTGAAATAATTGTGTGGTTTTCTAAGAAGCATCATTCAACAGCTGCCCCATCTCAGCTCCTGGCAAAGCTGATAAGAACAGTTCTCCAGACATGACTTTGCTAAACCAAGGCAGGGTGTTATTTTCAGTCAGATTCCTCAAAAACGATTTTTAGCCTCATCTCACACTTCTGGTTTCTTAGATTTCATCTCAGATTAAGCAGTAACTCATCCAGAGAGGACATGAAAATAGTAGAATCCAACACAATTAAATAAATTCACAGTCAAGTCATGTTAAGAAAGATCAGTGTGTTTTCCCTTCCACTTGGGACCATGCAACATCCAACTGCCCAGCTATTTTTTGGGAAGAATGACAGGCTTCAAACACAATGACAGCTAAGCAGAAGCCTTACTTAGACTATCAGCTGAACCAAATGTGGCTGTACCATCTGAAGGCAGTTTTATGTGGTATTAAAGGATTCAGTAAGTATGTCACTGAGAGTCACTAAATATTGTTTGTCATGTTAAACAGGATCTGCTTCCCCTTTCATTTTGGAGAGACCAAAACCTGTGAGATTCTGCTCCACATCCACTTCTCCAAACTGAGGGAAGAGTGAATTCAGCTGTGGAATTCTGATTGTGGATTCCTGATGCCTCTGTTCCAGCACACCTATTTTTCAGCTTGGTTCTGGCTTCATCCTTCCTCTGACTGACCCACAGTTGGGCTGGTAGCTGCCCAAGGACACTCAGCAGTGCCAAATACACATTTCAGGGAGCCTCTAATGAATCCCCACTGAAATTTCATCAGCTGTGCAAAGTAGATTGATTAAATGCTACTTACCACACAGGTAAATGTTTTCTGGGGTGTGCAATTATTGGTAAGAAAAATTGACTAGCAGGGTACCTGAATTTCATTCACAGCATCTATTCATAGCACATAGACACATTGTACAATTGCAGTCACTATTAAGAAAAATCAACAAAAGGCTACAGCATTATCTGTGCTTCTCCAGCAATTTCCTCTCACAAATTAGACATGCCTTACTTTTCCTTTTGTTGTCCAAGGAAGTATTATTTGTATAATGTTCCACTGTGCTTTAAATAGTTTTCCAGACCATTTCTCAGATGAACTAAGAATAAAGTTACCTGCTATTGAACTACTGTTATTCCTTTGTTGCCTCAGATTCTCAGTTTCAGATGTGCCAGGGTTAAAAAAAGTCCTCCCTAACTCTCACAAAGCCCTCCAGGGAGTCACTGTCACATTTAATCTTTCCCTGTCTCCCTGTTTCTCGGGTGTCTTCTGAATAACAGCAGTTTTGTCTATTTTATTTGCTCTTTCTCTTACACACACCCAGTTGAAGAAAAGTAATTGAAACTATGGCATCTCACCTTGCAGTGTCTGTGTAGTTTGAACCGAGGTGTGTCTAGAGATCAAATTTCTGCTTATCAAGTGCATAAATGTGATCCAAAGCCTGGAGACATCCGTGAATTCTGCAGGAGTTCACTTGCTGAGCAGGTGTTCATGGCTCACCACAGGAAGAGAGATTTGGGGTAGAAATAGCTTTTCACCTCTGCAAACTGAGTAGCTTTTTGCTGCAATTTGCACCTCTGGACCTCCCAGTAACACCCAGGTTCCTCTGAATGAGTCTGGCAGCCTGGGCTGAGCACAACGGTGAGCTCTGTGTCTTCTGCCTGGCTTTTGCTGTGAAACACAAACTTGAGATGCTGCAGGAGCTCTGTGTCTTTGTGTCTTGCTGCACTTGGGCCACAGTGGCTGCATCTCTTTCCATGCCATGGTACACACACTTCTGACTCAGTATCAGAAAATTCTTCCCATTCTCTACAAAATGAC